GTTCATCCTATATGCCTGTTCTGAGTGCAGAACATGTTAACTCACTCCTTCCAACATTCCTGTGAAGCGGGTACTATTATTAAACAGAGTTCCCTTTTCTAGGCTTATAACTACCACAGCCACTACATTATTCTATAATTAGGACAGATTATCCACTACCCCACAGAGGTCATCATAACTAATTCCATCATGTGGGAAGCACTTTCAGTTTATGGCTTTTAGGTATCTGGGTTCTCAGTGATGTTTCTAGTCCTCCAGGCCCGTGCTTCTCAAGTCATATCAGGCAGCTCCCCTCATTGATTATAGATTTAAGCACCTTACATGTCTTTTTTTTCCACTAGTGTAAGTCACTTCTGCCAATTCCAGTTTCCGTATAAGCCACATGATTATCATAATCTATAATAATAAAAGGGTAATATGCTAATTAGACTGGATGTCTTCCAGACATCCTTCTTGACACAGCCAGAGCCTGAGGGAAGCCGATGCCGGCAGCCCAGGTGACAGAGGGAATCCAGTGCCAGCAGCTGGGGGAAGGCAGGCCTACTCTTGCATGAATTTTCATGCATCGGGCCTCTAGTAATAGATAATTTGGTTTCCTGAATTCCTTGACTTCTTATTTCCAGTGAGTTTTCATCCTATTTTAGACTTGATCAGTAACTATATCACCTCTCAGATTTCAAATTCAAGCATCCTGTTCTTTCACCTCTACTACTACTCTCTTCCCAGCTCATTCCTCATTTTTCTAAGTCAAATAGTTTTGGGACAACTGTCAGGACCTCCAGCCCACTGAAGTGAAACTTCTTTCTTGTCCATCATTCATCATATTCTCGTGTTTCTTAATCTAACTTGGATTCCATGTCCGGTTCTAATCATTCCCTTTGAACTCATCATATTTTACTTAATTAAAGCCAACACTCTACCTACTTTGTACCTATACAGCTTGGAGGAAAACACACTATTCTGACTAGTTTCATTTTTAATACTCATGACCACAGATCCTGAATGCTTCCTGCAGTTGTAGTAGATTCATTCTATTCGCCTTCAACCTTGACAAGCCCTTCCTTTTGAGTTGATGATGTTTATTATTTTGCTAAAACAAAAAACAAAGAAAGCAAAATAAACAGAAAATAGAACTTGATACTTTCCTATCAGCAAATCTACAAACCTGAAAAGAAATTCTAGGGAGCAGAAACCAACTTTTCAAGGACTAAAATGTGACTGGGTCAGAGAGACTATAGACACTGTGTCCCCGGAACACTGTCTCTGTTAAAAGAACCTTGCCCAATAACAGGTTTAGTGTCTTAAGTAAATTTGAGAAATGCCAGAAGTTGTGTACAGTATATATATGGAAAGGAAGTTCCCATCTGCTGGCTGAGATTTTTCTAAAGCATTAGTTTGGCCTATTCCACAATCACTTGGAGGGCTTGCTACTTCCAGAGGTTCTGATTTCATAGGTCTCCTTGGCTCCTGAAAATTTACATTACAACAAGTTTTTAAGTGACTCAGATGCTGCCAGTCTAGGGAATTAAGGAATTCCATTTTGAAAGCCACTTCACTTAAGAACTCCATTGCTAAGAGTGTCAGATAAGGTGTAGGATTTTGAGCAACCTAGAAAATAGCCTTTGTGGGGTAATATAGCTAGAAATAAGAGCTAAGAGTGTGAAGAAGCTCTGTTAGTGATGCAGCATTAATTTGTAGTGGACCCAAGTAGCTAGTTTGAATGATTTTCCCTAGTAGTTTGGCCTGTCCGAGAGAAGGAGCAGAACTATCAGCAGTTAAAGAATTTTGCGCAAATCCTACTGGTTGCCATGTCAAATATCTATAAGTTTACCATCAAGCACTCCATTTTGCTTTGTATTCCCATGATGAGTGCCAAGACAGTAACTTTATCATCTGTCTTCAATCCATCTTTTAAAAAATACATTTGTTGTTGATATTATTGTAGATATCTTCCATTCCCCTCCCCTTTTACCTGCTTCAATCCATCTTTTTAAAATGTGTTTGTTATTTATTATTCATTAACTAGAGGCCCGGTACACGAGTTCGTGCTCCAGTGGGGCCCCTCAGCCTGGCCTGCGGGATCGGCTGAAACCAGCTCTCCGACATCCCCTGAGGGGTTCTGAATTGCAAGAGGACGCAGGCTAGGCCGAGGGATCCTACCTATGCACAGTCAGGGCTGGGGAGGGACACAGGAGGTTGGCCAGCTGGAAGGGCTCCAGGACATGTCCGGCCTGTCTCGCTCAGTCCCAATCAGCAGGACCCCAGCAGCAAGCTAACCTACTGGTTGGAGCGTCTGCCACTTGGTGGTCACTGCACATCATAGTGAGCGGTTGAGTGGCCTTAGCATATCATTAGCATATTATGCTTTGATTGGTTGAACGTGCAACAGGACACTTAGCATATTAGGCATTTATTATATAGGATTGTTCTTAGTTTAAAAATTTGTATGTGGTCGTTAACAGTGGTTTTGGAATGTAAAGTCTAAATGTTTATGGTATTTAGTATCCTGAACTAATTCTGTCAGTTGTGGTTAATAATTCTTTAGGCAAATGACTACCATATCTCTTGTTTTCTTGTTTGGGAATTTTTAAAATAGAAAAATTAGCCTGGCTAGTGTGGCTCAGTGGTTGAGTGTCGACCCATTAACCAAGAGGTCACTGGTTTGATTCTTGGTCAGAGCACATGCCTAGGTTTCAGGCTTGATCCCCAAAAGGGGGTGTGAAGGAGGTGCTGATCAATAATGTTTCTCTTTCATCTATGTTTCTAGCTCTCTATCCCTCTTCCTTCTTCTCTCTCTAAAAGCCAATGGAAATATTTTTTTTTAAAAAAAATAGAAGATTTAGAAACTTCCCATTTTCCCGTTTTGAATGTAACTGTAAGGTCACAGAATCTTTTAAAATTACATTTTAGGAGAATTATTAGTCAGTTTTCTGGCTAAGGATAGTCTCTTATGGTTCTTTTTAAGTAGCTAAATATTTATTGCAGAAGCTGGGTCACTACAGGGTTTATGGCATTTCTGGCAGTAAGTTACATTATCATTCCTGGGTGTCTGCACTTTTCTGGCTTTGCCTCTTAAATGTTTTTATAATGAGATTTCGTTTTAGCTCAGGCCTCGCAGTGACGTGTCAGCTTTTCTGCCTTCATGAGGTTATAGCAGTATCTGTACTGAGGGAGCCACAAGAAATGTTTTGAAACATGGTTGGTATATGATAGGAAAAGGGGTGAGTCTTTTTTCCTGTTCCCCCCTTACCCACTTCAGTGAGCAGGTAAGACAGAAAGATGCTGCATTTCCTTCTCTGATTTCTCAGATTTCTGTCAAGCTTTTGAAGCTAGATACTGTGTTCTTTTTGCAGTATTAAAATTGGTTATTCTTTAAAATAATACAATTTTGGAAACTTGTGGACTTGTTTTTTATAGCTTTATTGAGGAATAATTAATTACAAGAACTTGTACTTATTTCCAGTGTCTAATTTGAAGAGTTTTGAGATATATGAAGCCATGACTACAATGATAAGATAGCACACATTTTAATCATTCCCAAGGGGTTTTTTGTGTCCCTTTGTAATGTATCCATTTGATCTGCTTTCCAGCACTATAGATACGTTTACATTTTCTAAAAATTTAAATGAATAGAATCATACAGTATGTACTTTTGGGGGTGGATGTCTGACTTCTGTCAGTCAGCATAATTATCTTGAGGTTTATTTATGTAGTTGTTTGTATCAATAGTTCTTTTTATTACTGATGAGTCTCCTATTTAGATATTCCAATATTTATCTATTTACCTGTTGATGGACATATGGGTTATTTTTACAGTTTGGAGGTATTATCAACAAGCTGTTGTGGACATTTGTGTACAGATCTGAGTGTGGACATGTGCTTTTATTTTTCTTGGATAGAGACTTAGTAAGGGATTGCAGGGCCATATGGTAGGTGTATGTTTAACTTTTAAGAGATTGCCAACTTTCTCAAAGTGGTTATACCATTTTACATTCTTGAGAGTTCCTACTGTTCCACATTCTCACTAATACAAGATATGGTCAATCTTTTTATTTTTAGCCATTCTAGTAGTATCTGTGTAGTGGGATCTCAATGTTTGTTAATTTGCATTTTCCATATGACTAATGATGATGTGCTGCATTTTGGTAAAGTGGTTATAAAATTTTCTGCCCATTCTTTTAAACAATTTTTTGTCTTTATTATAATTGAGTTTTAAGAAAATTTTTGTATTTTCTGGATTCAGGTTTCTTCAAGTTCTTACATGTTCTGCAAATACTTTTTATGAGTTGGTAGTGTGCCTTTTCATATATTAGTTTTTTGAAGAGCAACTTAATTTTGATGAAGACTACTTTATCAAATTTTCTTCATTGTTTTCTTTATGCTCTTGTGTCCTATTTGAGTTCTTCATTATTTCATTTCTTTGATTTGTCTAAAAAGTTAAATAGCTCAGATTCTCATTTTTTAGCCATTGGGGGTGGGGGGGGGGGAAGCATAGGAAGCAACTCTACAGCTAGAGTTGTATCTGCCTTATAATTCTGTTGTTGTTATACTTTACTAGCAAATTGTTTATGATTCTAGTAATTTTTGTTTGTTCTTTTTGGTTGATTTTTGAACCTATCAAGGATTTGTGAAATTGCTACGAGTCTAGTTTACTCTGTTTTATGGAATGAGGTAATTGAGGTTCATAAAGGGTACATGGCTTTGCTAAGGGCTTATAGTCTTGATCGTTTGAACACCAAAAAATCCCAGGTCCTCTCCAATCCCATTTCACTGTTTGTTTCCCTGTGAAGTGCTGTTCTTTATGATGCTGTTCCTAAGATTTTACTGTATACTGTAACAATAAATTTAGTTCATTTGTTGCCTCTTCATTTCTCATTGAAAGCAGTATTATTACAATTAAGTAGGTTAGTTTTTTGAGAGATCATAATTTTCCCTTTACATTTCATTAAGTGAAGATGTTGATTTATAACACTTTTTTTTTTTTTTAATTCTTTCCAAAGGTCTGTAAACAGATTTGGCTAGGATTATTTGATGATAGATCTTCAGCAATTCCAGACTTCAGGGATCCACAAAAAGTGAAAGAGTTCCTACAAGAAAAATATGAAAAGAAAAGATGGTGAGTGAATAGTTTGTATTTAGAGCAAAGGTTTCCCAAATTACATTAATTATGGGTAAGATTAGTCTGACATAAGGAAGGAAAGAAGGGAGGGAGGGAGGAAGGAAGGAAATAGGCAGGTTAGGTAGATAGGAAATAAAGAAATAGGTAGGTAGGTAGATAGATACCCATTGTACTTTGGCTTTTTATTGGATTTGGTTTCCAAAAACCTTTACTTCTACTTTATCTTAACTCAGCAGCCTGTTCCTTGTAATTACCAGGCCTCCTCCCCTTTTTTTTGAAAGTTAGGGGTCCTTCCTTTGAATTCTTCTGTAGCCCTGTTAGCTTCCTTAGATACTTTTAGTCTTATAAAGCCCCTTTTCTTAAAATCTTTATTCATTTAGCAAGTATTTATTTAGATTCTTCTATATACTAAGCACTATGCTAAAGCTCTCATGTAGTCCATTCATAATCCATCCACTTAACTGCATCTTGCAGTAAGTCTTTGCTCAAAATATCCCTACTTCCCATCCAAGAAATCATTTTACTACCTGGTTAAGAAGGGAGCCTTTATACTCCCCTCATTCTATCAGATGGTAAATTTTAAAATTAATTAAAATAGGTTGGACATGTGGCTAGTAAGCCCTTTAAAGAAGAGCCAGGGTGGAGCTAGAGTTTAACTACTTTGGGCTCTTAATTTTTAGCTATATGAGCACAACGTAAGTCAATTTATTAAGACTCATTAATGATGAATTCTTAGTTTCTTTAGCAATATTCAGTAGTGTATATTTCCTTATTGGGGGGGGGGGGGCTAGAAGATGAATGAGAGAGTAACAAATGAAATAGATAATGCAGAGATAAATGGCTTGTTGTTTTCTGAGGAGCTGTATGTTAACCCAGAGAATGATCTGGTCAAAAGCCTGTTTTGGTCCTGAGGGAATACTTGCTGTGGTTTTTAAGTGAAGTGTCTCTACCTGTATTCATTGAGCACATTAGAAAGAAGTAACTCTGATTTTAGTGCTCTGGGAACTTTGTATTCTTACTGTTCTTTTGAGGAGACTGTGTTGTGCAAGGCAAGATTAGCCTGGGCTATATTCAGCAGCACTAGATAACATTAGGTGTGAATGTAGGTAAAATATACCAGTAACAATTAGTTGGGGAAAATTTTAGAAGGTGGGGTGACAGTGAAAGTATGGTGTCATGAATGATTCTTTTAAAGTGATATATATATAATTATATTTTTATCACTTTAGTTAATTTCCTAGACCTTCCACCCCATAACGTATTCTTATATAGCCCCGGCCTAATTTTTTATTTTCTCAGCAGTTTTACCAATTCAGAATATTAGTTTGAATAGGACTTAGCTGGAATTTGAGATCATTTACCTTCCGTTAGCAAGAGAATTTTGTGTGACTAAGAGTTGATAGAAATAAAACCATGTATTTCCCCAAATTTATTGTAATAATAATAATAGAAAACAATAATGAAATTTACTCCTTCAAAACATAATCCAAGTAACTGGAAACCTCAAATAATTATAATTTTTGTTATTCTTTTTTTCTGCCCTGACAAACAGGATAGTAGTAACAAGATTAACAGTAAATGAGAATTTTAATTGGTGGGTGGAAAGGGGAAGTGACCATTCAGGAGGGCCAGGGGCTGTGCATTTTAAAGCCATGCTCCTGCACACCTGTGACATGCAACTAGAGAACAGTGCAGTTGGTTTTTAATAAGGCATAAGAACTCTCCAAATGCAGACTTCCTAAAAATCCCTACTTTGAGCAACTATTCTTAAAACAATGAGACTATTGTCATCGAAAGGGATTTTAAATTGTTCTTTTGATCAATTTTCAAACTTCCTATGTTATACGTTTCCCTTATTACTTTTAGGCAGATGAATCTTTTGAACTAAGTGCTAGTATTTGGTTTTATTCTTTGATAAGATGTGGCTGTACTCAAAGTTGATATCATCAGTGGTTTGCCAAATTATAGGAAAGCATAACTTCCTCTATTCATTGTCATATTCCATCATCTCCCATTTACTGGAAAATGCAAAGCAGTTTTATTGTTTGTGATTAGTGTGTAATTTGATAGTAGCTAACACTTAATGTAGCTAACACTTGTACCAGGGAACTGTTCTAAGTACTTTACAAATGTTAACTCGTTTATGCTTCACAGCAACCGTATCTTCACTTTATAGATGAGAAATCCTAGGCACAAAGAGTTGAAGTAGTTTGCCTTAGGTTTCACAGCTGTTGAGTAGTGGAGCTGGGATTTGAACTGTCTCTGGAATAGATTTGTTGCTCTTAACCGTTTTGTTTTTCTGCTTTCTCCACCTACCTGAAAAGAGGATTGGGGAGGAAGGAGAAAATCCAGATATACAAGGAGTGAAAAAGCTCTCACATATTCCTAACCCTAGAGATCAGCATTGCCGATATTTGGGCATTATATTCTTACTGCCTTTCTTTTCTTTCTTTACTCCCTTCCTCCCATGAATCTATATTTACATGACTGGGATCAAACCTGAAAGACCATAAAGTAACCTGGACATCTACCTGTGTCAAAAGAATAGCTGTGTAGTATTACATTAAACAGATTTAAGAGTTCTGTGGTAACATACATGTACATGTATCTGTGTACACTCATTCAGTTAGTTCCTAAGGATGAGTTTCTGCAGAGGTACTTCTGGGGCACAGAGCATACCTAGTTACGTATTTTAATAGCAGCAAAATTTGTAATGTTTACACTCACATCAAATGCTAATGAATTAGGTTAAAAGTGTTTTCATTTCTGTGTTTCCCTTTATGAGTTGCTTCTGCCCATTTAAAAATTGGGCTGTTGACCTTATTCTTAGAGATTTGTAATAAGCCTTTATATTTTAGACTGTTAACTGGAATGTTTCCCTGCTTTCGGTTCTGTTTCCAAATGTTACTTATGATCTTACAATACTTGAGTTTTTAAAAATTAAATTATAGTATTAACTATTTATCATGATTGGTCTGCTGTCTTATAAAAAAGCAGTTAATTTTTTTATCTTAGAAAAACTAAGTAAACTCCAAGAGAGTTTTCAAAAAATTTATTTATTGACTTTTAGGAAGGGAAGTAGGAAGGGAGAGTGAGCAAGAAAGAGAAACATCAATTTTTGTTCCACTTATTTATGTATTCATTGGTTGATTCTTGTTTGTGCCTTGACTGGAGATTGAACTCACAACCTTGGTGCACCGGGATGATGCTCTAACTATCTGAGCTACCAAGACAGGGCCCCAGAGGGATTTGAAATAAGATTAATATTAATATCAACATTCATGCAAAATTAGAATTTTGCTTATCATTTTTGAGAATGACATTTCCTATATTTTTCTTAACTACCTGTTCAACTTTTCATGTGTTTTAGGTATGTCCCACCAGAACAAGCCAAAGTAGTGGCATCTGTTCATGCATCTATTTCAGGCTCCTCTGCCAGTAGCACAAGCAGCACACCTGAGGTCAAACCACTGAAATCTCTTTTAGGAGATTCAGCAGCAGCCCTGCACCTAAATAAGGGCACACCTAGTCAGGTGAGTAGTTGTTAAGTCTTTGTAGAATGTAGAGGCTTCTACTTGGGGACTGAATGGCATGAATTTGAGACTTTTTAAAGACAGTAGCATAATCTTGTATGCCAGTAGCATTATGTGCCAGTGGTTTATGATACATTTAAGCATTGTTGGTTAAGTGGTTGGAAGGTGTATTTATTTGCTCCTTTGCTGTTGCTAATATGAGTTTCTTTGAATTCTCCACAGCTTTGTGAAGGTCTACAGGAATATTGCTATAGCTATCTGTTATATAATATACATTATAAAACATGAATCTGTGGTAACCATCAGAGTCAGAACAATATAGCCTCTGTGATGTACTTTTATAGGAAAGGATTTCTCAAGCAGTGTAACCCCCCCCCCCCCATGCCCGATTTGTAAAGCACAGATGTCTTTGCATTGCAGTATATATCTTATTCTAAAAAACTGAATAGACTGAAAGTTTTTGATAAGTTGGTACCTAAAGTTTGTACTTCTGCACTTCATTACAGTTGACTGAGCGGTGACAAATCTGTTACTGTGTGACATTACAGCGTCTACCCTACACAAGAATGATTCTGAGGCATGGTACTATTTGAATTAAATCCCACTCTTTTAATAATGCATACTAGGGCATTTGAATAAATTGCTTCGTTTTTACAGAAAGTTTGAGTGAAAAATGGAGAGAGGGATTAAGCCAGTATTTTGTAACCCTTCTTATGTATAAAGGATGTATTCTTTGAAAGTCTTATCTCTGTCTTAGCAGTAAGTCCATCCTTTCTCATGAGCTGTGACCACTATTATAATTGTGTTTCTTTGCTTTTGACTCTGTAATTAAAATTGAGAGATAATTTGGGAATAGATAGTGAAAATTGGTGCTTTTTAAAAAATATCAAAGTACCAAAACCACAAATAGAAGATTGTAATTTTTAAACTGTGTTTTAAGCTTGATTAGTTGGGACAAGTGTGGTAAAAATTTAGCAGATCTGACTGGAAACTCTTTATAGCTAATATGTGGTTTATAGTCCCCTGTTGTAGGTCGCTCTCAAGGACAGCAGCAGGAAAAGAAGTTTGACCTTTTAAGTGATCTTGGCTCAGACATATTTGCTGCTCCAGCTTCTCAGTCATCAGCTACAGCCAATTTTGCTAACTTTGCACATTTCAACAGTCATGCAGGTAAGTGTTTTTCCCCCAAGAACTTTTATTAGAGATGTGTATAAAACACCAGAAACAACCTTTTTTGTTTGTTTGTTTTGTTAATCCTCACCCGAGGATATTTTTCCCTTTTTTTAAAATTTTCTGTTTGTTTGTTTTTGTTTTTTTTCTTTTAGGGTGAATGGAAGGGAGGGAGGAGGGTAGGGGGAAAGAGACACATCTATTGGTTGCCTCCTGTATGTACCCAACCAGGGCTGGGGATGGAATCTGCAACCAGGTATGTGCCCTTGGCCAGGAATCAAATCCATAGGCCTTTGGTGCTTGGGATGATGACACTCTAACCACTTAGCCACACTGGCTAGTGCAATAACCTTTTTGTTTGTTTGTTTACATATTCTGTTGAGAATGTCTGGTCATTCATACCTGTTGGGGTGTATAAATCATGTAGCCCTAGCAGTTGCTTTTTAATCACAAGAGACTATACTTAATGTCAGGTACTGACATGACCTCTTTCCATAGAAAACTGGGGAAAGACTATTAAATATTTTTTAACCCTTTGATAGGGACAATTTCAGATATTCAGAAATGATCAGATAATATAACCTTCATGTACTCATCACTTATGGCTAATCTGGTTTTATTTCTCATTCTAGTCCATTTCTTCTCAAGTTACTTTGAAGCAAATTTAGACATACTAATTTATTCTTAAATACCTATTTTATATGTATCTGTAAAGTAAGATTTCCTTTGTCAAACATAATGCTGGTAGTATTACCACTCCCTAAATAATAATAACAATAATAATCCTATACTAATAAAAGACATACATGCAGATTGACCGTACTTTTGCTATGCCTTAAGCCATGCCCACCAGCCAATCAGGGCGACTATATGCAAATTAACCCAACCAAGATGGCGGCCGGCAGCCACGGAGCTGGAGCAAGCAGGAGGCTTGCTTGCTCCAGTGATGTAGGAAGCCAGCCTGCCGCGGCCTGCTCTGAGCTACACTCAAAGCAACAAAGTTTCAATTATAGAAGGTAAATAAACCCCAGATACCTGCTTTCAGCTGGCTGTGGCCACGGAGCTGGAGCGAGCAGGAGGCTTGCTTGCCCCTGCGATGGAAGAAGCCAAGCTACCTGGCAGCTGCTGCCTCCTCTCAAGGCAACAAAGTTTCAGTTATAGAAGGTGAATAAATCCCAGATACCTGCTTCCAGTCACCATGGCCACGGAGTTGGAGCGAATAAAAACAAAAAACAAAAAAAGGAAAGTCTGGGAGCTTCAGTCTCCAGGGGGCCTGGTCAGTCTGAAAACAGCCATCAGCCCCTCACCCAGGCTGGCCAAGAACCCCAGTGGGGACCCCCACCCTGAAGGGGGTGTGGGCAGCCTAAAAATGGCCCTCAGCCCCTCACCCAGGCTGGCCAGGCACCCCAGCGGGATCCCCACCCTGATTCAGGACACCCTTCAGGGCAAACCAGTCGGCCCCCACCCGTACACCAGGCCTCTATTCTGTATAATAAAAGGGTAATATGCAGATTGACCCTAACAGCAGAATGACTGGGAATGACTGGTCACTATGACACACGCTGACCACCAGCAGCAGACACTCAACACAGGAGCTGGCCCCTGATGGTCAGTGCACTCCCACAGCGGGAGCTCTGCTCAGCTGACCAACCCATTCTAGAGACCCACCGGCCCGGTGGCAGCCACTCAGTAGTCCTGCAGTTCAAATCTCCGGAGAAGGGCCAGGCACCGACCAACCTGCACTGCCGGCATGACCCTGACAGCGCCGCTGGCCTCCTAGAAGTCGGTCTCGGGCACTGCGGCTGCTTCCCCTCCCTAGATGCTCTGCCAGGAAGAAATGATATAAAAGCGGCTGCCAGGTGGCTCCCGACAACTGGCACGAACGTCAGCTGGACACATTCGGATCCTAGGACTGCAAGGGCATCCCAGCGGAAAGCATCCTGGCCCCCCTACTCCCCTTGGGATGGGCGCCAGTCACAGGGCTCACAGCTGGCGAATGCTGCTGTGGCGGTTAAAGCCTCTCCTGATTGGGACTGACTGGGTGCGAGCCTGCAGCATGTGTAGCGGGACCAGGATGAGCGGGAGCAGCAGGCATGAGTAGCAGGCGGTGTTGCATTTTGGGTTTTGGCCCGATCCCCGCAGGCCACCCCGAATAGCAACGCCAGGCTTCCTCTCCCTAGTGACTAGCCTCCTTGTAGTTTCTTCAGCCCAGGAACACTACTTGCTTTATAGCCAGGTGGAAACATTTTACACTGTAACCAAATGTCTGTGAAGTGTTTTCCCCTGCCTGATCTCATTTGATCCGCACAAAAGTCCTGGAGTAGGTAGATAGGAGACTCAGTGGAATCCTATTTTTTTTATTAGCCAGAAAACAGAGATTTAGAAAGCTTATAAACTTGACCCGACTGAAAAGAAGTAAGAAATGGTGGACCTTGAAAATGATTTCAGGTTTTCTCACTGCGCAGAATATAGTCAAACACTGCTGCAGTTAAATATTTTACCCTTTGTTCTCCCTGCATGATCTACAATAATAATGTGCTTCATGTTGATATTTATTGCTGTGTTGCTGACAATTACCTGTAAGGGAAGATGGGGTGCTTCACTGGGCTGGAAAAAGTTTAGCTAACTCAGAAAGCAGGTCTAATTAAGCAAGTTTGTTATATATCTATAAAGGCTAAGTTGACTCTCTCATGCACGATACGTATAAAGCTCTCGCTGGCACCAATCACACGTGTGTTTCCACCTGTAATTGTCTATTGTGAATTTGGTTGACACAGAGAAGGGTGAATAGTGATACTAAAATATTTCTTCTAATTACCTTTCAATGTGCATGAATTCGTGCACTGGGCCACTAGTAGTAATAATGCATTACTATTCAATTTCCATTCCAGTTCAAACACACGCTTACACAGTTTTTTCAGATCAAGTTTCAAGTAAGGTCTGCACATTGCAGTTGTGAGATATGTCTCTTAGTCTATAGGTTCTTCCTCCATCCCTTTTTTTTTTTGTAATTTATTTGTTTAGGAAATTAGGTTATTTGTCCTGTTGAGTTTTAGGCAGTCTGAGTGTGTTGATTGTACCACTCTGGGGTCCTTTATCAGGTTTCTGTCTTCTGTATTTTCTGTAAATTGATAGATACTTGATCTGTTACCGGTTCTTTTTTATTTTTTATTATTTTTTTAAAAATATATTTTTACTGATTTCAGAGAAGAAGGGAGGAGAGAGAGAGAAACATCAATGATGAGAGAATCATTGATCGGCTGCCTCCTGCACACCCACTACTGGGTATTGAGCCCACAACCAGGCATGTGCCCTTGACTCAAATCGAACCTGGGACCCTTCAGTCTGCATGCCAGTGCTCTATCTACTGAGCCAAACCAGCTAGGGCCTGGTTCTTTTTTAGAGCAGGGTGGTGGTGGACGGGGAAAACCTGCTACTTAGGGTTTAAGAGGCACATAATATTGATTGCCTAATTTGGTAATATTAGCTCTTGGTGCCCAATAGTGGGATCTGTTATACAAAGTTGTGATATCCTAAATTTATCATTCCTTTATCAGCTGAAGTACTTCTTTAAAAAATGTTATCTTCCACAGAAATATGCATTCAGAAACAATTTACTTATGGAATTTAATAGTTATTTTATTAAATAAACATATCATAAAACCTATGAACTGTAAACTGTAATTAAATTTTGTCGCAGCTTATACCAGAGGTGTCAAACTCTATTAACTTGCTACCCAGTTAAACACAAATGAATAATACAGTACAATGTGTAAGAAACCATGGTGCCCTTTTTAAAGGGGGATGTTCTAATCTCCTGTTGCCACATGGAAATAGAGGTTCAGGATTACTAATATGTTAATTTCTTTTAAGAAAAGCCAGCAATCATATTTAAAGTAAAATGTTCTCTTTTGAAATGTTGGAAATTGATGGAAAAAAATTTAAATTTTTTCTTAGGTGAAACAAAGTGTATCCTGCCAGCTGAATATGATGAGGGCTATTCAATTCCATCTCATCCTTTCTCATGAGTACCTGTTTCTCACTGAAAAGGAAACACAGCTCTCAGCAAGATTCAGGCTCATTAACTTGTTACCTTAAATTTTAAACTTAGTCGACTTCTTTGCACGTTTTGAAATAAGATTATTTAAAACATATCTTTACTGTTTTGTCACATTCTTTTTAGTTTGGATTTCTTTTTTTGGAGATTGCTTAAGGCTCCAGGTAGTAATTTTTACATCATTAAATTTATTAGAGCTTAATTACCAAAGTCATTTTTACCAAAGTTTTATTCCACAGTACTTAGAAATTTTAAAAGTCATTAGAACCATTTGCTGAAGACTGAATAGATACAGGGTCTACAAATAAAAACGGATAGAAATTTCACAAAGAATTAATGTGTTTGGTGCTCTGGTTGGAAAACACTGGGAAAATGTAAGTGTGGATGAAGTAGACTTGACTTAACTAAATGGATTATATTGAACTGATTTTTTTCTTAATGATGTTTGAAACATTAAATATATATTTTCCCCTTTTTAAGTTCTAAATATAAGCGTAGAATATATATTAAACACTACATATTCATATATGTTTGAGGTTATAAAGGATAAACTACCTTCGGGACCTAATTTCTATTTCTACAAGGGACAGATATGTTTCATTTGTTCTCAAATGTTTAATTAAATTATTTAAAAAACTTAGAAGTTTACCTTTTGGAATATAGCCCATTCTAAATTTGAGAATTTTCTCTACCATGTTCTCTATTCGTTTGGTTTATATTTGCATTTTCTATATGTATATTATATATTTTGCCCTTATAAACTTATTTGGCCTTTTAATAGGAATTTTTTTTTGGGGGGGGGGGGCTAGTATTTCAAAACTCTATAAGAATTTTTATTGTCTCATAAATTGTAGAATCATAATGCAGGATTTGTAAGTGGAGACCATCTAGTGAATCCTCTCATTTTGCTAGTAAGAAAACTGGTAGAGCCAGAACAATTGAGGGACTTGTCTAAGACTTTATAGTTACTTATGTTAGGATGGAATTCTCTGATTTTTATCTCAGACTCCCTTTGCACCAAATTGTACTTGCTTACTGTTCTTAGCAATACTAAATGGTAACTTTGTTTAAACTTGTATTATATTTGTTACTTAAACTGTTCCAAAATATTTTTCAAGAAATTAATTTTAAAATTTGTTAACATTTTTTCCATTATATTTACTTTTGGGAATGTAAAATTTTAGCCTATAAAGAAATTGAATTTTAAGTAAAAATAATGACAAAATATTGGGACATCTTGCAAATACAGCATTTTATATTGTTAAGCAATAACCAGCCTTTTAATTTATGTATTTCTGTATACTGTTTGAGGGCTAGGACAAACGTGTTTTTAAAAGGTTCTCAAGAACAAAGTGTGACTAGTGACGTGGGATAGCACCCCACATTTCAGCAGTGCTAGGTGCGAGTACCCAAGAAGGGAAGTGGCACAGGTACCTAGTAGAAGGGGTCTATTTTAGGTACATTTCCTCCCTTACTGTCATACCCTTTCAGATACATACAGAACAGTAATTACATAAACTGCTGTAAGTTTTCCTGATTTTCCTCCTACAATATGTTGAGCTCTGTTAATGGAAAATTTTGTTGTTTAGTAACTTTTATTATTTTGTTTACAAGTATAATACATATTCATTACAACGGCTTGGTAAATTCAGGCAAACAAAGAAGGAAATAGGTAACTATTTGAAATCTCCTATTTCAAGTTAATCAAAATACAGATTTTTAAGTATGTAATACCATATTTTAAAAAGTAGATGAAAATGTTTCTGGAATTTATTAACCGTATTTACTTTGTCATAAACATTTTTGTATAAAATTGAATATTATTTTACATGATTTTTTAAATGGCTGCATTATAGCCATCATACGATGTTCCATAATGTATTGCAGTGTTTCCCTCATTGCTGGCTATTTGAGTTTCTAATTTTTTCATCATAAAAAACATGTTTAGCTATTACAAACAGCCGCACACATTTACAAAATTATTGCTTTACAAAAACTTCCTAGAAGTAGAAATGCCTGCAAAGGATTTATGTTGATGTCTATTTTTTGGACATTCTTTTCATTCTTGTCACTTAGCATTCCTTTTTCCTCATATCAACCACTTCTTATTCTCATCAGATCCTTTATAAAAATCTTACCCAGCATCTGTTTTGTTCTCTAAAAAAATCTCAATTCAAGAGATTTTTTTAGAGGACATAATTGCATAATTTAGAGAAACCTAGAATTTTGCTGTTAGGTTGACGACCAGTGGGAAATACCAGTGGGTCTTTTTCACTGAGTATGAGTGCATTTATGTTATAATTTTTACTATTTTTCATAGTTTCTTACATTTTAATGTGTTTGAAAGTGGCAAGCTTCTAATAGAATGTGAATATTTCTATTTGTTTGACAATCATGTCTTGTTATACATTCAAGCTTATTTTTAAATGCCATGGTATGCAAAGTTGTGAACTTAAAAAAAAGAAAGAATCAAAAAGAGGATATTAATCTTTATGTCAATGTTTTAGATTTTATACAGCCAGTGAATCACTCATTGCCATTTTACATATGAATTTTCCAGAATGTATCCTATATCCTAAATTTCTATTTGCTTTATTGTAATTCATGTATTTAGCGCTCTTAATTCAGAGTTTTCTTTAATAGGGTTACATTTAGGATACTATTCCTGAGGTCACTCAGTGTGTATTGCATACAAATTTATCATTGTACAAAGTGTTTTTGGAAATTTCTGGATAACCTTTTATAAATTGTTTGAAATTAGGCTAAGTAAACACTGATAGGATTTAAAATCTGATCTCTAAATGTATTTGAAGTGAGCTCTAAGATGTAGAAACCTTTCATAAAATTCTCAAATTCTTTTGTCATATTTTTTTTATAGTTTTCATATTCATTAACATGTATTGTTCCTTACCATTTACAGCCCAGAATTCTGCAAATGCAGATTTTGCAAACTTTGATGCTTTTGGACAGTCTAGTGGTTCGAGTAATTTTGGAGGTTTCCCCACAGCAAGTCACTCTCCTTTTCAGCCCCAAACTACAGGTAGAGCTTCTCCAGCATTATGCCTAAATGTTTACTTTAAAAAAATAGAGTAAAACTCTCTAGATGTAGTTTTGAAAATTACTCTAAACTTAAATTCTATAATTATCTGAATTTACAATACTTCTATCTAGCAAAGCTCTGGGGAAACCTGAAATCTTTATTTTGTTGTGTGTTCATTTGTTTTTCTAAACTCTTTGGTATGTTGTCTAATTCACAGAATTCTCCTTTTCCTGCACATGAATCTTAAACTTCTTATGTAAGGAAGGATTAAAGTACTAAAGTTTTTTAGGTTCAAACAACACATTGTGATTTAAGCTCTAAGTAAAGGAAGCTCATTTATTGCTTCCATAGAACTAAAAGTAGAAGTAATTTTTAGGCAACAATCTTGAAAAATAAATGTTATTAGTCAAGAGTAGGTTATTTAAGGATTGCTTTAATCAAACTGGGAAATCATTTTCTGTGCAAGAATTGGTCTTTAAACATTGAATACTCTTCCATAAACTATATTGTTTTCCAAAACTCATTGAACCCATGTTTAGATCTTTGGCTGATTACTTTGCTTTCAACTGGAATTCTGTGTATTGTCTTAAAGCTTTTTCTTTCAATTTTCTCCCTCCCCCGCCCCCCCTTAACTTTCATTTACATAATTTCTGGCTATCCAGCATTTAGAATGCTTTCATCTAGCTGCAGTTTTGGTGAATTTACTTCTGCTTTTCCTCTCCAGGCTACCAACAGTAAGTTCTCTAGTCAAGTAGGCATCTTTTACTAATTTGTTTTATGCTGTATTTCATGGATTTTTCACTTATAGAACGTTAATCATCTTTTAATAATCTTCATAAATTCTCACTTTTACTTTCCCTTCACTATTCCTCAACTCAAGAGAACACAGTAGTATACAATAAGAGAGTTAGTTGATTTAATAATTCCAATTTTAATTTGAAATAAAATTCTTCATATAAACTTTGAAAGCTTCAGTATTTACTTTGTTCACCAACTACTTATAGCAGATCACAATCATTTAAATATGCACATTACTGAATTTTAATTGGAAACAACCAGAGTTTCAATGCCTGAGAAATTTTATCTGTACATATTGTTTTAGAATGTTTAAAAATCAGATTGATGGAAAGTGTGGGTTTTTTTTTTTATAGGGGTGTATCTGTTCTGTTTTTAAAATATCTATGTGTGCTTCGTATCACTTTAATATAAAACTACACATAAATTATTTTGATTGCTGAAACTAATGTGTAGGCATAAAGAACTGGTATCAAAAGTTAGGACAAAAGCATAGAATGAAATATATTAGCTTTAGTCTTTGGTAGTACTTTAAAGAAGTCTCTAGATTACAGAACAGACTTTAAAATCTTAGTAGGATATATACCTGTAAGTGAATTATGCTCTGTAAAGTAAAAAAATTGCTATAATATTTAAACTATTTTGATATTGTATACTATAATTTTTATTCTTTGAAATATATAAAATAGTTCATGATTTTTTGAGGATACCATGGTGTATGAGCATTAAATTACTATGTGGAATTAAATAATAGCTCTTCAAATAAAATAAGTCTGGAGCTCAAAGATCACCTGTTAAGAAACTCTGGATCAAAATAGTATATCTTAAGAATTTTAAATTTCTATTCCTGGGATTTGTTTCAACCAAGTTTTTTTTTTTAGAAGCTACAAAAACTTGTATTGTCAGATACTTTGCATCTTATTAGCAGGAGGACTAGTAAAAGGTGATAGTATATAGTTGAATGTTGTATATCGTAATGAGTCTCAAACTAGGTGAGTTATATCTTTTACTCCAGGGTAGATAATTACACATAGAAATGTGTAACTTCATGTTGCCAGGGCCTTTGGAAATCTAGATTTGCAAATTATAAAAAGTCATATGTAGATGGTTAAAGTTGAATGCTTAGGAATACAGATTCCTTATAGAATACTTAATTTAAGAAGAAATTGTCATATTACCTACCACAGGATATTGAGAAAAATCTAGATATTTCAAGTGTTCTGTTTATTCTGTTACAGGTGGAAGTGCTGGATCAGTAAATGCTAATTTTGCTCATTTTGATAACTTCCCCAAATCCTCCAGTGCTGATTTTGGAACCTTCAGTACTTCGCAGAGTCATCAAACAGCAACAACTGTTAGTAAAGTTGCAACAAATAAAGCTGGTCTTCAGGCTGCAGACAAATATGCAGCACTTGCTAATTTAGACAATATCTTCAGTGCTGGACAAGGTAATCAAACTTTAAATAAAAATTTCTGTATTAAACAGTCCTTTACATTTGGTTGTATTTATTAAAATCTAAGGATGCTATGCTTTTCTTAGTGGGTGTATAGAAATTTTGTTGACACTAAATTTCATGACTTCTAGGATCTGAAATAACAACTACAAAACTGAAGTCATAGAAACTAATTTGTTACTTCTGGTTTTAAAAGAAAGTAATTGACAAAAATTTAATTTTGTCTTAGAAAGCCTGCTTTACTGTTCTATGGCTATACAAGATTAAGAATCTTACACATAGAACTGACTGGAAGGCTATTTGGTGGTTTCTATAGTATATTTATTTTGAATGACTTTCTATTAATATCTTCTTAATTTTTTAAAATGATTTTTACTGTATATTCTTATGCCTAGTTTGGTCTTGAAGGCCAGTATTTTGCCTCTCAAAGTGCATAGTACAGTGGTGAAGAGCAAGGGTATGCTTTCAGGCTGCAGGGCCTACTTTTTCATCTCCATAATGAGGATAGTAAATAGCATTGAACTCATGGAGTTGTGTTATTACATGTAAGGCATTTACAACAGTGTTTGGCACATAGTAAGTGTGCAGTAAGTATTTCTTCTCATTACTATCTATTTTTTATTATGAACAACCCTAGGAAAATGATATTAATTGATTGTTCTCATCAGGGTCCTGTATTTTATGAATTTATATGTTTACTTGAATGCAATACACCTGTATCAGAGATGTTAAATAACACTTTTTGAGAATTTCTTCTTTATGCACACTTTAAACCTGTTACTGGCACAGAGTCTTAGTTTTTTGTTATAGAAGCAGTATTCTGTCTTTTCCACAGCAGTATATGTTGCAACTAATCTTGTCCAATATTTTCTACATTATTAGATATGATTCTGGAATCCTATTTATTTGCTTAGCTCCAAATCAGTTGTAAATTTACATGTGTTGCATGGGAAATCTGGTTGATAAATTGGAAGTATACCTTTAAGTTTTGGGGATAATTTATTTATTCACAGGTGGTGATCAGGGGAGTGGCTTTGGGACCGCAGGTAAAGCTCCTGTTAGTTCTGTGGTTTCACTTCCCAGTCAATCAAGTGCGTCTTCAGACAAGTATGCAGCTCTGGCAGAACTAGACAGCGTTTTCAGCTCTGCAGCCACTTCCAATAATGCGTACACTTCCACAAGTAATGCCAGCAGGTACCTTGTCTTTGTGTTTCTGCTTTGTGTTTAAATCTTTTTTCAACTCTGAATAATGTTGTTAAATAATGACTAGGGCATAATTTTAAAATTATTCAATATTTTTATAAATTTGAGGAAACAGTTTAATTTGCTAATTAAAATATAATCCTTGATTAGCTGCCCAATTCTATTTTTTCATTTAATCAAAAGTTTTATTTTCTTGAACACTAAAATGTAACTAAGAGATGTACACATCTCAAAATGGACAGCTATCTACAGATTTAATTATACTCAGCAGAGAATTCATTTTGGAAATTATATACTTTTCAGGTACAGTTTTTAGTCATGAAGACTAAATACTGAAAGTAACATTTTGTAGCCTTAGTTGTAAATACACATTTTTAGAAATGTTTGCACCAGAACAGAACACTAATTCTATATCTCTTCAGTGTCATATTGGTATTTATGAATAGACATATCTATTATTGTGTTCAGATATATCTGGTATAAAGGAATTCTTTGTAGCAGGAAGTCTGACACATTTTAACAACATTAGATCGTTAAAAGCTCTAATCAAGAGCAGTTTTGACTTCTTGATTTTATACAGAAATACAGGTGACTTACATATACATTGTTTTATGCATCTCTGTTTTTCTAATTATTATTTTAATCCTCACATGAGGACATGCTTTTTTTAAAAAAAATTGATTTTAGAGGGAGAGATGGAGAGAAACATCATGTGCAATTGAAACATCTATTAGTTGCCTCCCACATGTGCCCCAACTAGGAATCAAACCTGCAAAAGGTATAGGGGGTGATGCTCCAACCAGCAGAGCCACCGGCGAGGGCTTATGAACATTCTTGAAGAAATGTCAACAAATTAATTTTATTAAATCTTGATCCTTAAACATGTCTATTTTCTGTTTGTGGAAGTAAAGTGTGCATCAGGTAGGTCTGCTGCTCATTGAGGTATGATGGCTGTCTTGTTTGGTTGTTGTGGGATGAACCAGCCACTTGTTTTCTGAAACACCATTTTTCTTTGGAAGATAACTGGTAGGCAAACCAAAATTATTCAGATTTGGATATTTGACAATATTTTCTTAAAAATAGAGTATTTAAGCCTGTCATTTTATGAAAATAACTGATAATAATCACACATTCAATCAAACATTAGAATTTTGGTAAATTTCTTAACTCTACCATGAGCATGACAGACAGCTTTTACCTTTCTGATGAGTGCGTGGTGATATTTATGAATGTGATGTGTTTTATTTTTTAATTTTGCATAAGGAAATGTTGACATTTGGAAGATTGGCATCAAGTATTTTCCAGATGATAGGACATCAGTAAAAAATTCATTTAAAGTGCAAGATAGACTAATGAATGTTAACTTTAATCCAGCAAAAAACAGTTCACTGATAAAGTTTCAAATTCCATATTGAAACTAACCTTTAGGAATTGTCACTATTTTTGGTATGATAACAAAGAAAATATCCACAACTAGAGGCCTGGTGCACGAAATCCGTACACGGCGGGTTGGGGGGGGGGGGCGCGGTCCCTCAGCCTGGCCTGCACCCTCTTGCAGTCCAGGACCCCTCAGGGGATGTCCACCTGCCAGTAGTCAGACATCCCTCTCGCAGTCCGGGACCCCTCACTCCTTACCGCCCGCCTGCAGCGGAGGCAGGAGAGGTTCCTGTCACTGCCACTGTGCCCGCCAGCTGTGAGCCTGGCTTCTGGCTGAGCAACGCCTCCCCTGTGGGAGCGCACTGACCACCAGCGGGCAGCTCCTGCTTTTGAACCTCTGCCCCCTAGTGGTTAGTGTGCATCATAGCGACTGGCCGTTCTGCCGTTCGCTCAATTTGCATATTAGCCTTTTATTATATAGGATTATCTGAAAAAGCTATTAAAATGCTCCTTTGTTCAACTATGTATCTATGTGAGGCCAGTTTTGTGTGTGTTTGTTTTTTTATATTTATACATCAACCTAAACAACATGTCACAGCTGATTGATCTTCTGCTAAGCCAGCTACAAAAGGGATTTGCAAAAATATCAAACATTGTTACTGTTCTCATTAAGTTTTTTTATTTCAGAAAATATCCTATATAATAAAGAGCTAATATGCTAATTAGACCAGATGGCGGAAAGACCTCTGAAACCACCAGTGGGCCGGGGGGTGGGGCCACAAGGTAGCCAGGGCTGTGAAGGCCTACTCTTGCACACATTTCATGCATCAGGCCTCTAGTACTTATCATAAAGTGCTATTTATTTGTTAGCATGTAATAATGGCTTTATTGTTATTTTTAAATAAAAAGTATTTTAAATTTGTTTTAATTTTTGTACTCTATGCATATTGATAAATAGAGCACACTGAAGCAAAGGTTCTTTGGGGTTCTCAGTAATTTTTTAGAATATAAATGAGCCATGAGACCTAAAGTTTGAGTACTTCCGTGATACATTGTATGTTTAAAATGATCAGTTTTCACATATTTATGGCCACCCTATAGATAGAATATGCTTGCTTTTTTTTTTTTTAACAATTAGAACTCTTTTAATACTTGTTTTCAGCAATGTTTTTGGAACAATGCCAGTGGGTGCTTCTGCACAGACACAGCCTGCTTCTTCAAGTGTGCCTGCTCCATTTGGAGGTAGGTGTTTCTGGTAGTCGCCCCTTATGTGTGGAAGATACATTTCAAGACACCCAGTGGATGTCTGAAACAGTAGATAGTACCAACCGTCATATTTACTATATTCTTCCTGTACATACATACCTATGATGAAATAAAGTTTAATTTATAAAATTTGGCTATTGACCATACAATTTTTTTTTTTTTTTTGGTTTCCTTAAGTTGAGAACTTTCACCTTTTCACTTGAAGGAAGCACTTTACAGCTTCTCTTTGGCATATACGAATTGCCAGCATCACTACTCTTGCGTTTTGGGGCCATTAATAAGTAAAAATCGAGCAGGGTGGAGAGAGATTTCATCACGTTACTCAGATTAGTGCATAATTTAGAACTTGTCGATTGTTTATTTCTGGAATTTTCCACTTAATATTTTTGGGCTGCCATTAACTGTTGGTAACTGAAGCCATGGAAAGTGGAGTCATGGATAAGGGGGGAGGAATAATGCGGACAGTGTATAGAGCCCAAATGTATATTGTAGAGCATTTTCAGGGGAACCAGATGACAGAGCAAGTTTATTATTAGAAAGCTCTAGTTTTCTATCTTCATAAATATGTTAAATATATTTTTATATATTTTAGTATAAATGTATTATGATTTTATAGTGTACTTTATAATATTTTAAAGCTACGCCTTCCACAAATCCATTTGTGGCTGCTGCTGGTCCTTCTGTGGCATCTTCTACAAATCCATTTCAGACCAATGCCAGAGGAACAACAGGTAAGAAATATAAATTACGGAACAGCAAGTTTTGGAAAAGGTATTTATTGCAGAGAAACCATGTGAACAGACTAGAAAAATAAGGATTCTTTCTTACTGAAATGAGTGGTTAGTGGATGGGAGAGTTTGTTCCTAAAGACAAATATTTGCTGGAAGTTTCTAAAATCCTGGAACTTAATGCATATTTGAGAAGGACCTTAGAAGTTAACTAGTGCCTACCATGCTTGGTCACAGCTTTCATTTTCAGGGAGGATGCCCAAGTATGGAGATGAGACTTCTTTGAACCACACAGCCAATTTTTGTAGAGATCGGACTTGTACACAGTAATTCTGACTTATTGTGGTGGTCTGCTTTCAGAATTACTGGATATGACTCATTCAACCATAGCAGAAAACATGTATAAGAAGGTTTTTTGCCTTGTTTCTGTCTTGACATGAGATTTCAAGGGCCGAATGGGCTTTATTACATGAGGTCTTAAGATCAGGTCTTTTTCTAGTGCATATCTCTTTTAGGATGTTAACATTTTAAAAATCGTGGGAACCTGATTTTATTTTGGGTATAATGTTTGAGTATTTTCTCAATTGCTGCTTCCCCAAATTTAATTGTTAAGTATGCTGATTTATAATGAATGGACATATATTTTAGAAATAATTCCACCCCAGATGGTTAAAAAAACACAAAAAGGTTCTATTACATAATCTAAGTTTGTTTTTTATTAGATTTATTTATATGTAGCCTCTCTGATCTCAGTCATGCCAGGTGGGAAAACACAAGATGCTTTTTTCTTATTCTGTCTTTTCAGCTATTGTATTTTAAACTGAGAGTGCCAATCACCTTCTAATGAACTACAGTGAATAATTTTCCCCTTGTAGTACTCAGTTAGTTTACTTGAGTTACCTTTAAGTATTTCTAGTTATTGTAAAAAGTTGTAAATAAAAATCAAGTATTATTCAGGTGCTCTCTCCAAAGTTTGACTTTGCAGAAGCTAGGTCATTTTAGATGATCCTGTAAATTGCATTTTTGGGTGTGACTCATGAGGCCTACAAGTCTTTATGGATATAATTATATCTTCACATGAGAAAAAAGTGCTTATTTAAAATGATGGATTTCATAAAGGTTTCTTCATTTGGTATTATCTAATCTCCCCTTTATTGCAAACAGTATAAATATCACAGTGTCATGAATATAGTTCAAATAAACTGGATGTGTTTTACCATGTATTATGCTATCTACTTTGTAAGAGTACATTCTAATTTTAGAACTTTTAATGAAACAAATTTACTTTTATTTTAACAATAGTTACCATTAAGTTAATGACATTGGTCTCTTTATGGCTTTCCATAAGGCCTTTCTGGAGCAATGCATTCTCAAGTGTTTCCTCACGCTCATTTTGGTAGGTGGCCACAACTAATGTCTAGATTTCTGTGGCAGTTTGTCTGCCTGCTTGTGGAAGCTTCTGCTAGTGTTCTGGATCCCTGCATGTGGAATTAAGTTCTTCCATGTTTTAAAATGGAGTGGGCATGAATGTGTGGCATTGGGACTGCATTATATTTAAAATTACATGGAAATCTTCTGTAGTGATTTATGTTTTAATGCTGAAAAGCATTATTGCTTACCTCCATGGTCATATTAGAATGTCACAGCTTTTTCAATTGTTTTTCTTGAGTTTGAATTTATAGTAGTTTGAGTGACACCTTTTTGATAAACCAAAACATTTTACCACATTATTCCATGGAGTTTGGTTTTGTTTAACTATGCCCTAAGTTCTGCTTTTTAGTGCTTTTTAAAAAATGATTTGTCCAAGTTATGTCAGTGCATTGTCTGTTATGAAACCCCCCTGTTTCCTCGCAGTATGCTTATTATTCTTTATTCACTTGCTTCCCAATGGCTGTTTCCCTTCTTTTTCTCCTTAATAATGAGAAAATAATTTAAAATTTTTTTACATTCTAATTAGGTTCATTGAGGATCATTGTTATAAACATTAGGATTATGAGGATTACTTTGGACAACATCTATAACTTTTTTTAGTTTTTTTTAAAAGAATTTTTTGTAACATTTTTAGTATTTCTGTACTTAAAATCAATAGTTGAGTAAAATTTTTAAATCAGGAAATTAAGTGAGTTATGTTTTTGACAGCATCACTTAAAACTATTTCACTATATAATTACTACTATTCTGTATTAAAAACAACATTATTGGCTCTTATTTCACTAAGGCCTTCCCTGGAACACTTAATCTTCTCTAGCAATAGTGATACACTGTTCTGCTACTACCTGTGTTTCAGTAATATGAATTATTTCTTGAGTTAATTCTTCAATGGGAAATGATGGCAGCATACCACATATGTAATGGTAGTTCACACAGATTTCCCCAACCTGTGACTGCTCTGTTCCACAGAGTTAATAGTGAGTGGCTAGACGTGGCAAGCCTTGGAGGAGCACAGTTTTGAACACAGTGTTCATTTACACTGTGTGCTTTGTCTCTTCTAATAATGCTTAGTTCACATCCTTTTCCATCTTTGTACATTTTGCCCTAATTTTTATAACTGAGCAGTCCTAACCTTCCTTAACCCTTTATCCAGAGCAGTCTTTATTTACCATCCAGAAAAGGAATGTGGGAGTCCATATATTTCTTTTGGAATTGATTTATTAGGAGTGTAACATGTCCCTTTAATTGTGTTAGTGTTTTTAATTAAGATTCCCCTCCCCCATTTGGCTCTGGTTACAACGCTGCATAGGTTTAGCGTGACCTGCATCTAACTCCTATAAGTTTTGTTATTTTTGCTGAGCTACTTAACACAGGTTCTAAAATTTTTTCCAGGAATTCACATATTATGTTATAGTACACAGTTCAATAGTTAAAATTAAATATTGGGCTATTTTACTATATATAGCAAAACAAAATGAAAAACAAACAAAAAAAATACTAGTATGTATGCATATGAGTTGCCATGATAATGGGCTTTAAAAAGTAGATTGCTGTTTAGAGCTGAATTTTATTAATATACTTTGAGAAATTTTTCTTCATTAGTTTTATTCTGGTTTTTTGGGTTTTAAGACAATAAATTTTATAGGTTGTAATACAGTATAGTGCTAAAACGTAACTGACTTTGTTTTGAAATTTAGAATGCCTTTAATGTACATCTTAATATTTTTCAAGGTAAATGATATTTCTTCTGTAATGTTGAATATGAGAAATGAAATGTGCCCTTTTAAATGTAAGTGATCAGCCCTTTTCTTCTGTCAGCGGCGACCTTTGGCACCGCATCCATGAGCATGCCTGCAGGCTTCGGGACGCCTGCGCCCTATAGTCTTCCCACCAGCTTCAGTGGCAGCTTCCAGCAGCCTGCCTTCCCAGCCCAAGCAGCTTTCCCTCAACAGACAGCTTTTTCTCAACAGCCCAATGGTAAGATCTGACATTTATTTGTAAGTCCGCTGTAGGTCTCTTGTCCTATATAATAAAAGCCTAATATGGTAAGTGTCCAGTCATTCAGTCATCCGTTCAACTAATCAAAGCGTAATATGCTAATGATATGCTAAGGCCGCTCAACCGCTCACTATGATGTGCACTGACCACCAGGGGGCAGACAGTCGACCAGTCACTATGACGTGCACTGACCGCCAGGGGACAGACGCTCTGACTGGTAGGTTAGCTTGCTGCTGGGGTCCGGCCAATTGGGACTGAGTGAGACAGGCTGGACATGCCCTGGAATCCTCCCATGGTCCCACCCCAGTTTGCCAACCTCCTGCGTCCCTGCCCAGCCCCGATCGTGCACCGGTGGGGTCCCTTGGCCTGGCCTGAGCCCTCTTGCAATCCGGGACTGCTCAGGGGATGTCGGAGAGCTGGTTTTGGCCCGATGCTGCTGACCAGACCAAGGGACCCCACTGGTGCACGAATTCGTGCACCGAGCCTCTCATATTGTCATAATATTATGTGTTTGGACAAAAGAACTTAACTGAAGAATGCTGTAGTATGGTCTATTGAATGTGTATTTGGGCCTCAGAAAATTGACAGGTAAGTTTTTGTGACTAGATTATAGATGTAGGAGAAATCAGAGACTCTAAGGCAGCAGTTCTCAACCTGTGGGTCGCAACCCCTTTGGGGGGGGGTCGAATGACCCTTTCACAGGGGTCGCCTAAGACCATCGGAAAACACATATAATTACATATTGTTTTTGTGATTAATCACTATGCTTTAATTATGTTCAATTTGTAACAATGAAATTGGGGGTCACCACAACATGAGGAACTGTATTAAAGGGTCACAGCATTAGGAAGGTTGAGAACCACTGCTCTAAGGAGTCCCCAGTGTCTTTCTTATTCATTCATCTGTGTCCTAATACATCTCTTGATTTTAAAAAGAAACTTTTAAGGACATAGAGTGATTTTTTTTTTTAAATGTATTTTTATTGATTTCAGAGAAGAAGGGAGAGGGAGAGAGATAGAAATATCAATGATGAGAGAGAATCAGTGATCAGCTGCCTCCTGCACGCTCCCAGCTGGGGATGGAGCCCACAACCTGGGCATGTGCCCTTGGCCGGAATCGAACCTGGGACCCTTTAGTCCGCAGGCCAACACTCTGTCCACTGAGCCAAACCTGCTAGGGCTAGAGTGTTGTTGTTTTTTTGTTTTGTTTTTTTGTTTTTTCAAATATTTTGATTTCAGAGAAGAAGAGAGAGGAGGGGAGAGAAACATTAATGATGAGTGAGGATTATTGATCAGTTGCCTCCTGCACCCCCACATTGGGATCAAGCCCACACCCCAGGCTTGTGCCCCGACCAGGAATTGAACCATGACCTCCTGGTTCATAGGTCGATGCTCAACCACTGAGCCATGCTGGCTGGGCTAGAGTGTTTTTGTTTTTTAATTTAAATTCTTTATTGTTTAATGTATTACATAAGTCTCCTTTTTCCCCCATTGACCTCTCCCTGGCCACCCCAACCCCCAGCACATGCCTTAAACCTCTCCCCCAATCCCCTCTGGTCTGTGTTCATTGGTTATGCTCATATGCAAGCATACAGGTCCTTTGGTTGATCTCTGAGTGTTTTTGTTTTGCATCAGAAAACTGCCATTTTGTTTAAGGTTTTTTTGGTGGGTGGTGGTGACAATAGACTGATAAATAGGCAGCAATATATATATTATGGTTAGAAATTGTTACTTGTTTTCAGGAAAATTCACTGGAGACTAGTTTGTGTGGTTCTCACCCCGCCCCACCCTACCCTCCCACCCCAGATTTTGTTTATGGCTAAAATTTGAATTCCATCGATTCAAAGATTATCCCAGAATTATGGATGTTCTTTTCTAAAGTTGTGCTTAACTAAAAATTTGGAAATAGGGTCTATGACAGCCATAATGATGAAATGTTTCCTAAGGAATACTATGATGTCCACATAGAAACTGTTGTGTGGTCTTACAGCCCCTCTCAAATAGTCACCACCAGCTCATCTATTTATTAAATCCTTTGAATGTCAGTAGTTTACGTAGCTGAGACAAATTGGAATTAACTGTTTCGGGGGACTATATAAAAGCTCCTTAAGACATGCCGCAGGAAGTTTATTTCTGGTTTTGAAAGAGCATAAGACCTAACAATTTAACATTGATATTGTATTATTGTTCTGGTAGGAGTTTCTCTGAAACGCATTATGAGGCTTTAATAAACATCAGATTGTCTCTCAAAGGTGGAATGGGTTATAATTGGTGGCTCTGTTTTAACAAGGTGCAGGTTTTGCAGCATTTGGACAAACAAAGCCAATGGTAACCCCTTTTGGTCAAGTTGCAGCTGCTGGAGTATCTAGTAATCCTTTTATGGTAAGTGAGGTGCAGTTTTAAGCACTTCGTAAGTTGTTGTGTGTTATTTTCAAATTAGGAAAAGCAAGATGTGTCTCCTCCTGGATGCTGTTTGCTTCTGTACTGATAAGACATTGCAGGAGTGTACACATTGAGGGAGCCACTATGCAAGATTCCTTTGTGACTCAAAAAACCACATTAATCATTTGAAATCAAAGAATTGACAGTAAATAAGCTATTTTATAACATGAAATTTGTCTGCTTTCTTGCAAAAGGAGCACTTTATGAGCAGCTATAGACATAGTAAACATTGTGGAAAGGGGTCTTGGAGTCAGATTTAGTTTGAATCATAAATGCATTTTTTTAGAGTCAAGTCCTTTTTTGAGAATTATTTGAAATAATTATATAAAAGGCACAACACAGTGCCTAATACCTAATCTTTTATTATAGTATGCTGCTAATAACAATAGTAATAAATTTGATTGCCAATAATTAAATCTAAATACTCTTCATATTTTCATCACACACCACTTTTGTCTGTTTATTTATTTTGTCTTATGTTTTCCTTTAGACTGGTGCACCGACAGGACAATTTCCAACAGGAAGCTCATCAACCAATCCTTTCTTATAGCCTTATATAGACATTTACTGGAAAGAACTTTTACATGGTCACATTACATCTCTCCGCCTCTTGCACTGTTGTCTTGTTTCACTGATCTTAGCTTTAAACACAAGAGAAGTCTTTAAAAAGCCTGCATTGTGTATTAAACACCAGGTAATATGTGCAAAACAGAGGGCTCCAGTAACAACTTTTAACCTGTGAATTGGCAGAAAAAGGTAGCGGTATCATGTATATTAAAAATTGGCTAATATTAAGTTATTGCAGATACCACATTCATTATGCTGCAGTACTGTACATATTTTTCTTAGAAATTAGCTATTTGTGCATATCAGTATTTGTAACTTTTAACACATTGTTATGTGGAAAATGTTACTGGGAAAATAGATCAGCCACTTTCAAGGTGCTGTCATGTATCTCGGAATGAATGACCTGAAATCATTTTAACCATTGCTACTGGAAAGTTACAAAGTCGGAAGTGGAAGGTTTTATTCAGTCTTGGATTTTTCCCTCCTAAAGAGCTCTTCTATTTATACATGCCTAAATTCTTTAAAAATGTAGAAGGATACCTGTCTGCATAATAAAGCTGATCATGTTTTGCTACAGTTTGCAGGTGAAAAAAATAAATATTAGAAAATATGCTATTGTTTTTGTGTTCTTGCTGCAATGCCTTTACCAAAGTGGCCTTAAATGTGAGTAGTGAATTGAGAACATCTTGAATTCTTAAATTAGGATTTCAGAAGACTTCTAGTGACTAACTTTTATGTCTAAAAGAGAAAATTTTATATAAAGGCCATGTAGAAAATGTATTAAAACTACTATGACTGCTATATTCATGAATATGTCAGTGGTAAAGCATTTACATGTAGCTTGTCAGATTCATCATAATCCTTCTAATTTCTTTGCAACTTCTTAATTTTGTGAAATTTGTAAATATGAAGAATTTGCATGTATGTGTATTTACAAATTTTTTCAAGTATCTTGAATTCTCAGACTTCAAAAGGCCTATTTTAAATATTGATTTTAAAAATACTGTATTTGAATGTATTGGAAGCAGACATGCATTAACTGTGACATGATTGCACCTCAGATTTGTTTTCTGTTTAGACAAACTGATATTATTAATAGGACATTTGTTTATGTTCATCTCTGGCGGGGTAAAGAAACTGGAACCCAGTGTTACCTTGAAGTTATAGAATACTTTGTTTAAAAGGACAATGATACTAATATTTAGTTTTATCTTTTTGTTAATATTCAAATGAACTTGTTTAAATATTTATGTGCAGCAATGCCTCATTCATCCAGAGATAATCTGGCAGTCTCATCAAAACAACACAACTGGGAAACTTGGAATCATCTTTTTTTTTCTTTTTTTAAATGCCTTTGAGCAACCTACTTAAGTCATGAAGTCTTTACTGATTATTTGGTTTCCCAGCCCATAGCAAATTAACAGTTCAGAGGTTGTGGCTCGAAAGGAAGGAGATAGAAAAAACTATGAAGAGTATACTCTTGAAGACTATTTAGTGTAGGGGCAGCCAGCCCAGCCTAGGTCACTAAATCACATCATCTTCTAATAATTGTCTATTTTGCTGACTCAGTGTCATCAAGATAAGCTGAAATTACATATACAAATGGGTAGCATGTGTTTATAATGTTTTATCTTATAATGATTAGACATTTTTTAAAAAGCTTTGGTATTAAAAGAGGTGAACGTCTGTTTCCTCAAACATTTTATTCATGTTGAATACCTTTTTCAGTGGTGGCTACATGAGTTATCCTACTATCCTCAAGCTGTGTAGTGTTTTAGACTTGTTCAAACATTGCTGTTTGTTGAATATCTAGCTGAATGTGTGGTTTTCCTGACCCATTTGATAAGAAGACTGGGAGATCTCTGCCCCTTTTCTGAGCAGTATGCCTCTTCTTTTAGAATTAAATGAATGCTGCAACAGTTGTGGTGTGTGTTGGTGTATACTTGAAATGTCTCTACATTTGTGGGGTCTCCACCCTATTTTTCTTGGAGGGAACACTAAAGAAATGTCTTTGAATGCCTGTATTTTAGATTGTATTGGGTCCTAATCAATCCACATGTATAAAGTTATAATATATAATTGTAGGCATTACCCAAATAACCTTCCAGCTTTCCATCTAAGAAATAAGTAAATTAAACAGTTATTATGAAAATAATTTTAAAGACTATTTCTTCTGAGTAAATTTTGAATTTTGTAATTAAATGGGAACTCTGAATGACTTAATTGAAATGAGTGCTTATAAAATTAAATATGTAGTTTAAGAAGTCCAGAGTTAAAGTAGACTTAAATCAACTTCAGTTAGACTTTCCTATTCAGGTTTGCAGCTGCTTTTCGATAGACCATCAGAATTGTCTCTACATTTGTGGGGTCTCCCTCCACGCCCTTTTTCATGGAGGGAACACAGAGAACTGAAGAGAAAATTCTCGAGGTGACAAGGCTGAAGACCTTCGTGTTTCCTGGCTTCTGGTTGAATCAGATCTTTTTCTCCTATCTTTACTCAGGAAAGAAAATTTTCTTTTATTTTAGGGTAGAGAACTTTGTTACATTTAAAGGCATGCTGTATTTTCATTTTTGTGAAAAATAGAGGTAATTACTTTCTTTGTTCAAATAATTCCTCTAAATTTGAAGGAGCATATCAGTGGTTTACCTGTGAGTTGTCTCTTCCCCCAGTGCACACTGTCTTTGCTACATACAGTTCCTGGAAATTGGTAAAATGGATGTTTTTGTACCATTTCCCCAGAAGTTTTGAGAAACTGGGTCTCGGCACCATAATCCCCAGAGAGCTTTTGTTTATATAACGTGTTGGTCAGAATTTACTGTATTAGAAATTAATACCAAGTCATTTAAGAACTATGTTTATTTAAATATACCAATAAATCCATTACATGTTAACAAATATCATTTTTATAAAAACAAGTGTTATCCAAAAACACTGAGAACATTCTGTTTTGCTCATCTTTTAAATATCTGGACCAAGAGAAGCAGCAGAGTCTCATTGTGATTCTTTTTCTATCATGTGGCATGTGGACGCTGGAAAACTCCACTGTGAACTTGCAAGATCATGGGTGAAGTAGAGATACAACATTTTGGTACTGTTATGAAAATAGTTTGGATCTTGTGTTCTGAGACCCTCAAGGCTCCTCAGACCAGTCTTTGAAAACCACCGCACTAGACTTCAACGGTGTATATTTTTGGAACAGCAGCATTTAGTTGTAAGCATAGTGCTCCCTGAACTTCTATATTTTTTTTACTTAGTTGGTGGGAAAAATGAAAATTCCTGTTGAAGTTGCAAATGTTAAGCCCGGCCAGTGTTGCTCAGTGATTGAGCATCAGGAGTTGACTACTGTTTGATTTTGGCAGGGCACATGCCCAGGTTGTAGGCTCAATCCCCAGTAGGGGCCGTGCAGGAGGCAGCCAATCAATGATTCTCTTACTGGTGTTTCTCCCTCTCTGAAATCAAGGAAATATATTTTAAAAAGTGCTATCATGCTTATGTGTTAAGATTTTAAAAAATATTTCCCAATCCTGAAAGAGTTTGCATATCTTATATGTCTAAAAAATTTAATTTGGGTTCCATTTATAAGTTGATAAAATCAGTACAGTTTATTCTTGAAGGGCTTATTTAAGTTTACAAGTAAATTAATAGGGTAATTAGTGGAGCCTGTTTTAAACTAAAGAGCTCTTTAAAGTATCATAATTTGTGAAACAATGTTATTGATAGTTTGTTCCCCAGTTTTTAAATTTGTAAAATGTTATTCACATTTGTATTAAGTTAGCCTATTGCATTGAATGCATCCTCATTAGTTAAAATTTTCTTTGTATATTTTAAAATGTTATAATGTCAATAAAATTTTTATGTGATGTATTTGGACAAGCAAATATATGGCCAAGATGTAATGAATGTTTTACTGGTGAATATTTAGCAACTGCTTCTGATGGAAAAGTGCCCTGTTTTGTAGTGTTGACTGATTGATACTTGTGGTATAAATATTGTTGCCATGGCTGATTGCACCTACCAATCCGGTATTAAACTTGGAGTTAGAAAGATAAAGCATACTAGCAGCTCTCCTAAGCTTTTGCAAGCCAACACTAGCACACACTGACATATAATTCCACAACTCAATCATTACATTTATTGGTTATTTGCTTATTGTATCCAGTATTTGAAGAGTCTTGTATTGTTCAGCAAGATTTGGACACTAATTCATTTCTAGAAGCAAACTGGGTCTGAGGTATTTAATCTAAAAATAAGTATTGTGAAACCGTGGTTTTAAAAAGTCCAGTTATTGTGCTGCAGGGGTTGTACATTCATGGCATATACTCTGAATTCTGTCTACATTTGTGTTTCGTTCAGCAGTTTAAAAACTTGTATTTTGAATAGTTTTAAGGGAAGATGTGCTCTTAAGTTGGCCACTAGCCTACCACTCCCAGCTTCCTTAGGCTCAAACATTCAGATGAATTTTAAGGCCATTCAATTGCAAATCCAACTTGACATAAAAGGGCTCTTATGCTTCCTCTTCTGATTTTGGGGTCAGTCCTTAGTATTTAAATTTATGATATTTTCCAGTGAAGGCTTTTGCCAATAATACATTTTCTTTCAAACCTGGTAACCTCTGTGCATTCTGCTTATTTTATGCCAATGGATAAGAATTTAACATATCTTGAAATAAATTTTTGAAATCTGCTTGTCTAACTCACAGGACTTTGGAGTTGAATTACAAAAGGATGTTATTGGGGATTTCATGTAAAGGAAAAGTGATCTTTGGTAAAAATACTTCAGTTGGGAATTTAAATGCCCATTGGGTTGGTTTGGTTTTTTTTAATTGATTCTTTGGAATTTTGAGTAGATGTTACCCAAGTTGTAGTTTAAGCAATATTTAAATAAATTCTCAAAGTTTCCCCTCAGTCTTGAGGGACAGAGGAAGCAGACACCAAAGAGCCTTCTAATTTTCACTAAATATTGAGTAAAAGCAAAGGATTGTAAACTGTTTCATAGAAGACCATGGGTACAATCAGGCTTTTTAAATACTTTAAGTTTTTTTAATATTAAAATAATACATGATTACGATTTTTAAAAATCATGCAATATATAAAGGGTATGAAGTCAAAAAGTGTCTCCTTCCTGTGATCTTGTTCCCATACCCCCAAGGAATATTTTGTCTTGGATAGTCTTTTAGAAATGTTATTTAATACTGATGTACACATATATATATGCCTCTTGTCCCCCTCTTACTTTAGATGTACTATTTTGTATATTGGTTCTTTTTAACTTGGTTATCTTTATTATCACATCCAGTTCTAACTCATTATTTTAATGGCTCCAAGATTTCATTATGTGGATGTTCCTTTTGAAGAACATTTGTTTATAGATTTTTGTACTAAAAACATTGTTACAATGTGAGTATCTTTGTGTATAATACATATGAATATTAGTCTGGATTCTGCCTGATGGGAAACTCAATAAAATAGACATTCTATTTTTAGGCTCACCAGCTGTTTAAGTATGAATTTGCACATCCACTTAGGAAATTTGCACTTCCAGTTAGGAAATTTTCATCCGAAGAAGAAAAAAAATCACTCAAATCAAGTACCTTAAAATATTTGGAGAAATCCTATGCTTTCTGGCATTTAGTCACATTTGTTTTGCATGCTGATTTTGCCATTGCTCCTACCCATGACTCTTGGAGTTTCTAAACGTACACTTTGGGGCTCTGCTTACTACCTGTTGGTATTGTGCCTTATCTATGTTATCTTAGAATATATCATATTTTTAAAAAATATTTTTAATTGATTTCAGAGAGAGGAAGGGAGAAAGAGAAACATCATGATGAGAATCATTAATCAGCTGCTCCTGCACACCCCACACTGGGTATCAAGCCCAAAACCACAAGTGTGTGTCCTGACTGAGCATTGAACCGTGACCACCTGGTTCATAGGTCGACACTCAACCACTGAGCCAAACGGGGCCAGGCAGAATATACCATATTTTTAAGAAGAAAAATACAAATTTACTGTGCCAAAATAATGGCACAACTACATGTTTTATTCATTATTTCTTCAAAATTGATTCTCTTTGCCTTAGAAAAGACAGGTAAAAATGGAAAAGTTCTGCTTTTCATTCTTTACAAGATTAGAGTTCAGAGAGTTTCTCTAAATATATTTACCATTAGTCAAGGACAGGGTTTGCTCCCTGGAGTAATTTGTTTATGAGGAATAATATGAGCCCTAATTATTAATAGAAAAGATATCTTAGCACATGAAGTCTAGGAATCAGGAACCAGAGAACTTTATGAGTAGTCAGAGGAAGAATGAGGCACTTTTAGTCAGCAGTGTATGTCTTGGAAGTTGTATTAATGTGCCAAGATTTATAAAGACCAGTCTTGATGCAGGAACACTTCATACAATTGATGTCATTTAATGGCTACAACAACACTACAGCTTTCAGGCAGTATTTGTCACAGGAAAATTGACATTTAGTGTTGGCCAAGATTATTCAGCCAAGTGGCGAGTAGACATAAGGCTGACTTTGAAGTTTCTCATTTATATTGTACTAAAAGCCCGATGTATGAAAATTTGTGCAAGAGTAGGCCTTCCTTCCCCCTGGCTGCCAGCACCAGCTTCCCTCTGGCACCCAGGATTCATCCTGGCTTCCCTTAGGCTGCCCGCAGGCACCCAGTTCCCGGCTGGCTTCCCTCTGGCCCCGGCTTTGTCAGGAAGGACGTCCGGAATGACATCTAGAAGATGTTCGGTCTAATTAGCATATTACCCTTTCATTATAGACTAGAGGCATGAAATTTGTGCAGGGAGGATGTTGTCCCTCAGCCCAGCATGCACCCTCTCCAATCTGGGACCCCTCGGGGGATGTCCGACTCACAATCTGAGACCGCTGGCACCTAACCACTCACCTGCCTGCCAGCCTGATCACCACCTAACCACTCCCCTGCAGGCCTGATCGCCCCCAACTGCCCTCCCCTGCTGGCCTGACCGTCCCCTAACTGCTTGCTCCCCTGCTGGCCTGATGGCCCTAACTTCTTGCTCCCCTGCCGACCTGATCACCCCTAACCGCCTCTGCCTTGGCCCCTGCCACCGTGGCTTTGTCCAGAAGTCAGACGTCCAGAAGATGTCTGGTTGACCTGGTTTAATTAGCATATT